ATGTTCTTCAGCCTCAAAGAATGATTTTTGAATTTTCACTTCAGAGTATCGAAGTATGTGGTGTCAGGATCCATGTTTTCTGGCACATCTAGCACAATTATATTTCTTCTGCGAAAGAACATATCGCGAACTTCCTTAAAGATGTTCCTGATGAAATTGCACTCAGAATATGGCATATCAGACTGTATTCTTATATCCCCTTGACAGTTCATTAGGTGAGCAGCCAGTAGAACATCTTCTACATTGGCAATGTTGGTGAACGCTACACGAAGTCGTGGATGATTTTAGTGCTTAAAGTCCTTCCCTCATATGAGCCATGTAACCTTTAGCGACTCAATTCTGGGAAGTTTGAGTTTCCTGTTCATCTCTTCCCAGAGCATTCTATCACTTTTGTCCAGCAGACTGATAGGAAGGTCAAAGCTGTCTTCAAGGTTTCCGATTATGAGTGAAACACCGAGAAACATGATTGCTTCCCCAGGTTTTCCGGTACGTTGAGGTTTGGGTCCTTCTTGTTTGGCAGTTAAGATGTGTTTCGGATTCCTATACTCTTTGTTGACTGGTTGGACAATCTTAGGGGTAGATTACACGGCCGAATCACTAGCTGATTTCACTGTAAAACCTGGTCTGTTCAGTTTTTTGACGGTGAAACTCGATCCTTTTTGGCTTTGTTGATAGGGGTATAGTCAGCTATAGAGTTTTGGGGGCCTACAACTGCGTTTATGGAGCCCGTACTAGGAAACTCAGGCTTGCTTAGAGAGTCTAAAACCGTCGACATTATGATAGTGCTGAGCTTTAGAATATTCTCATTAGTGTTGATGTGTGCCTCACCGATACCAAAGTTACAGAAGATCCTATTCTTTAGTACGCTTAGTGTCTTTATTTGTTTGCATGTCTCCAAGTGCGGATCTGAGTCAAGTGAAGCTGCTTACTCTCCCCGTTTATCTTTCTTCTGGTAGTTGACTGAATTGTGAAGACCTCGACATCTGAGGGAAGGCACGGAATACGATGAACAGCTTGCATGCAACCAGATGATTTGAACTTCGCAGATGACCTGGTCCTTCTATCCTATACACACGAACAAATGCAGATGAATACAACTAGTGTAGAGACAGCCTCTACATCAGTAGGCCCCAAAATATACGAGGGGAAAAGCAGGATCCTAAAATACAACACAGATAATACCAGCCGAAAAAAACTGCGGAGAAACTCTGGAAAAGGTGGTATGGTTAAATGATTTCGTTAAATGTCAAAATATTTGTTTAGAACTGTAGCTTTCAAGTAGAATGTTTGGTGTGATGAATAACTGTTTAGGTTAGCTAAGATCCGCTCTGTCGTCCAGTTGAAACCGAAACAAGGCGATTGAGTAAATGACGATTTTAAATTTCATTATAAGTGTATATTATTAGCTAAACTAAGATTAACACCGGTCTATTCAACCAATAATTGTTCAGAGAGAAGTCAAATCTAAATTGCATAAAGTAAATAAATTGGTAGACGATGTAAGACAACTGCCATGTGCAACAAGTGCACATTCCTATCAATGCAATCAGTTATTCTATCCTTTCTGGATAGATCACGTGCGAAATTTCCGTAATATAGTACTTAATCATTCAGTGACTCTGAGTGTTTACAATTCAATTCACAATCGAAAATGAACAATTCCAGTTAAATACAAGCAACAAATTTAAGGAGGGAAGTGAATCAATATGGCAGCCACTATGACCAAATATCGACAAAAACGATGTAGATGTAGTTTAAGAAAAACATGAAACTCAAGTGAAGACGTAAAAAAAGCACAAACTTAAATAAGATACCAATAGTACCATCTCTAAGGGAATCAAAAGAGCAATAAAATATACATCTGAATGAATAACGAAAAATGGACTACAACAGTGTGTATGTGGAGGGATTTCTATGCACAAAACTTTCAGAAAGAATCTCACGATATCTGGTTTTGACATCAGTAACCCAAAAGTAAACTAGATAGGTATCTTTGTAAGCCAAAAGTTATGGAAAAAGAAAGTGTCATTCAAAATAAGAAAGGTGCGGCAAAACTACTTTGTAGCGACAAATGTAAAGACATGAAGTAAACGCTAGTTTAAGGCGTTACCGTGGAGTTTTGTGTTATCATGGTAGTTGTTGAAATTGCGAAAAATAAGCACTGGAGTCGGTGATCACATTCAAACTTTTATTTTTATAGCGTATACGTTCATTTAAACGATTTCATGGTAAATTACTACACTAGATGGTAGGACAGTACTATCAAAGATTATGATTTACTGATGAATATAAAACAGAACATTAGTTTGGTGAGGATGCTTTTAGCCTTTAAAGATGCCCAAATTTTTAGGGTTGAGATACATGACTGTCGATAATATTATTTTTGTAAATAGGAAGCTCAGGTTCTCTGAAACTAAGAAGTGGTAATTTCAAATCCAAGCTAGCTATTGTCTTGTGCCACCGTGAGTCCGCCAATCAAAACACTGATCAATTACGAAGCAAGGGTGGTAAAACTATGATAAGAAAACTGTTTCAACATGTTAAACGAATCACCGTCGGGATTAAGGATTGGAAGCTAAGCCATAGTCATGACTTAAGGTTAAGAGTTTAAAACAAGAGTGTAAGAGTTAGAAGAGTCAGAGCTAAAATGTATGACAATAGTTTTAGAATACTATTTAATCGCGAAAACACTTGATTATGTTCAGAAAAATGTAATCTTAAGTACAATTTCCGTCGGTAGAACTTGTCATTTGACTTTAGGATAGTATCATATTCACCATGTAATCACACAGATTATTTTTCATATTTTTAGGTATTATAAAAGCTCATTATATAAAAGTTTTACATATCTTTTAATAAGGCATATGATATCCTTCACTATGCTTTGAATTTTATTCACAATTATGTAGACACCATTTTTAATCTGATTGGTTGTCTAGATGTCATCGTTATAATGGTTTTAGCGAGAGTTAAGTGAAACACATTTAGCAGTCGGTGACGATGATGCATGGGTTCTAGAAACAACAATACCAACTTTATTCATAATACAAAACCTTTAATAACCCCTGTTAAAAACATATACTAATAATCCCAAAACGTTACTGAAGAACACTGTTTCTAGAGTCTCAAAAGGTCTATCATGGAAATGACCTGTTGATACCAGCTTTAATTCATCGCATGGAAATTAAGTCAGTAGTTTAGAGATTCGCTAGCAAATCACTAGCTCTCTTCCGATTCGGGGATAAAACAGACAGAACTTCGTTATTCTCTACATTATGAGGTGCGCACCAAGCTTACACTAATTGGTTGCATATGGATTAAACAATAATACACACACACTAGTTTAATGCGTCTCAGTTACTCTTGTCTCGTTGTTTTCTCTGGATCCTGTGAATTATATTGCTCTGTAAGTCCTCTTGTTCGATCATTGGTTTTCTACGGCCTGTTGGTATGTGGGTCAGAAGTACTTAGATCTTTACTATTATTACTGAACATATAGATATTGGTACAAGGAGGCACCAAATACATATGCGCCACAAAAATCTCATTTGATATGTGTGAGGGCTGTGACACTGCCCGGGTTCGCAAACCGAACCAGGTGGTTTTCTTAGGGGGCCACACCCCGAGCCTTCGACCTGAAGGTCTGATCCACAAGGCAGTAGAGCATTGTAGGGAGATGCAGTCGCATCTTAGCTGGTGACCAACGATTGATTCATACGCCATTTTTTCCTTCAGGATACTGGAGCCCATGTGCATCAGTGGTTTGGAATCAGGGTTTTCCAACTCCCCTAGGTTGACTCGTCGTGTCCACCAACCAGGGTAAATCGCCGAGCATTCGCTTTTCGTCCTCTCAAGTTCGTGGACAACACCCTCGCCACGAGAAGGCAGTGAGTAGGACTTCCCTGGAAGAGGCTATACACTCGTGACCATGTGGGAGCGTTCCGAGAGGGAGAGCGGACTGTCCCCACTCTCGGCCGTACCAGGGCATTTTGGGGCACTTAGATCTTTCGGTAGTAGAAAGTAATACTGGGTAGTCTTACTTAGCAGCCGAATTCAAAGTGAGGATACCTACCTCCTACAGCTTTAAACAGATATGATTTCATTTTATTGCTCCATATTTTGTGCCATTAATTTTATAGTGATAAATGAGGAACATTTTTAAAATTTCAGGCAACTTCGGAAGCTGAAACTAAGCGAGTTTGCTAACGAGTTTTTTGGCAAGAAAATCGATCATTTACTCATCGATATACAAACAAACCGGCAATAAAAAAAACTTAATTGATGCTAATCTCTCGTTATAAAGGGAAATGACAAAAGAGAATACGAGATCAGTAGAATTAGTAGTTTTACACGGCAAAAATAATTCTGAATGATTTTAATGGGCTTTGACTTATTTAGGTTCCGTTCAGTTTGATATCTAGATTATTTATTATTAACCAAAAGATTTCTTAGTCAGCTGTTAATCCATAAGACTTCCCATTATCTATCCATTATAATGCTTTTCACTCTCTCGACAATACAACACGTATTCATCACTGAAATTCGTAAGGATTTGTCATAATAATAACAGAAGCTGGTATCCTACAGTGCTACTTTCCGATACGAATTTCACATCAACCAAAGATTGTACCATACTGATTTATTTTACATCACGGATTCAACATTTTCACCAACAGTCTGACCAAAATAATAATCCAAGTATACAAATAAACTTATAGCCAAAATCTTTTCTTATACTGATGGATGAAAAAACGGTTCGTAATGAAAACTCAACTAAATTAGCGAACAATCCCCATAACTTTACAGTGTCGATTTGTAGATTAGTGCAGTAATCAATCTATTTCTAAACAGTCAGAATATAACCTATCTATGGTCAATATTCACAAATATTGTTGAAATTACTGCACATTTAAATGAAATCTTTCCTAATTATATGTGAATTGTATTTACCCTACTATAACGCATTACATATTGAAGTAAATAGAAAGAAAACAACAATTATGCATTAATAATAATAATAAGTTATAATAGAACCTAGTATTCTGATTGACAATATGAATGTATATAAATGACACATAAAATTGATAAAAGTAGTATTTAAAACTTTCAGAATTAATGTTTACATTCACATACAAAACACAGATTTAGTATTGATATCACGATGTCCCATTTGAAAAGGGAAAACTAATGAACAAGCAAATAAACTAAGGAGTAATAAAAAAAATTGAGAAAGGTAAAAGTTCATAGATAAAACTAAGTCCTTGAAGACGTACATAGAAGAGTTTATGTGAGTGAGTGAAACAGGAGGGGAGAGACGAGGATAAAAACAAAATACAAAATCTATGCATTGATATGAATTCAAAAGTAAATTACTAAATAAGCAATTTTAATAAAATGAAGATGAATACAGTTAAAACCTGTTAATAGCAAACTCAAAATACAACAGAAGAAAAAAATAACTTTTTCCCTTTGTTTTGAATAATCAGTCAGAAAAACAGATGTAGAGGATTGATTTTTAAAAGAAACCTTAAAGATTTTCAATGAACCGGTTGTACATTCCATAATTATGATTAATAAGTAGCATGAGTACATTCGATAACTAATAACAGTTTGGTAAGAGAAATAAAAGAAAACACATGAAGAGAGAGAATCAGAAATCACATCGATTTATTTATTTAATGTAATAAGTCAGTTTAAAAAGAAACTCTTGTTCACATTAAAATTTATAATACAATAAACTGACTAAATAGTGATGATCTTCGGTATGCTGATATAAAGAGAAAGAAATTCTTGTTATTTTGAGATCATTGTAAAAAAAGAATGAGATTAGCAGTGAGAAAAAGGACGATAAGAAGAAAATATATAAACGAGAGAAAACATGAAAATCAGTTTATATATTAGCGAGGTAGATTACATTGGAAAGATAGATAGATAAATGGAGAGAGGAAGAAAGAGCGAATCAACAAGAAATGCATAAGTTCACTTCCATAAAAAGCACACACAGAGACACATTAACTTGTGCACACCTGATAAATAAAAAGTAGCACCGGTAGCACAAATATTTATCACCGATTCATTTTACTAATCTTATTTCGTACATTTTGTACAGGTACATGATGAATTTATGAATAAAAGACGATAACATGTATGTTCATAAGAACATCAGCAGAAGAGAAATGTTTATTCATTTCATTGATAGACATTTTAATAAACACCAGAATATAGTAACCTATTCGTTGAATTTTTTAAAATACATAATTATATCATAAAAAGAGGCAAATAGATTAAAAAGAACAATAAATGGAGAAGAAATCAATTGTTACATATCATTTATGTGTGCCATATGTTTTGTATCTTGAATTAAATTATTTACAACATTCGAAGATAGTTGTTTTGTTGTCGTTGGTATTATTATTGTTGTTTGACCATTGGTCAATGATTTTTTGGAGATTTCCGATGTTGCTGTTGTATCTGACGTCTCATTCTTTAAAAAAAGAAAAATAATTAAAAGAAAGAAACAACAGTAAGTCTTTTTTTCTCAGGAATAAATAATATCCATGTACAACAACAAACAAACAAACTAGTTTGGTAGCTTACAAATAATAATGATAATTATCACTATAACATTAGTAATAAATGCGAAATTTCAAGAGAAAAAACACCAAAAATAATCGATAATTAGCGAGAGACAAAGCAAGAAAGAAATATGGTACACCTTTTAGATCATTTTAACAACGGTACGTTAACAAATTGGACATTTTAAATAGTAGACACTAAACTAATCATTATTATATACATTAAATAATGCTGGTCGTCAAATAGTGTCTACTTACATACACACACCATATGTATTACAAAAGAATTTAGGGCAGAAAATATAAAGTGAACAATATAATTAATTTTGATGTAGATTAAAAAACTAATGTCTAATCTGTCTTATTTATCTTAAAAAGCATCTCTATTACTCTTTTTTTTAGCTAACCATGTATTAGAATATCTGGTAGGTGATAGAGATCTCAGATATATAGTTGACAAACTACTCTAAGATTATACTAGTTGTGAGGGTGGGGGTGGAGTGTCAGTGAAAGCCCATAATATTAAATGTCAACAATTTATAAATAATCTGAAATTGATCCACAGTCGATCATTCATAGAAACTCAAATACTAATATTTTAGATAGCACAAACTATAGGCCGATTGTTTAGTGAGGAACGGTGTGTCCAATATATTTACTAATTTCTCAATGCTCCGTACAAAAATAACTTGTGTTGAATGTGGTTATATAACCATATATTTAAACTCTTTCTAACCAGTGGTAATATTAGATAGGATTTTTCGATTTTACCACTTCCTTTTAAGTTTGCCATCTATGACATCCTGACAACAATGTAGATCTGTTAAAGACATTCAGAACTTGATGAAATTCTCCTATTGTGTATATATAGACTATCAGAATGACACTTAATCGACAAGCGTCAACACGTATGGCATATCCTCTGTACTATTGAAAAGTAAAACTCTTACTCAAGTTTATCTGCAGTCTGTGCCAGAATTCACTCTGTAGTGAACTGTTTGAAACAGTCAGTAAGTAGGTGTGATAAGTATAGATGGTAGTGTAGCAGATAAAATCAACGTACCTACAACAGAAGTCGGACTGTCTTATACTAATCTGAACTAATTATGGTACATATTGGGATACTTTATGAATATGAAGACGTCTATAGATCTATTAAACACATTAAAAAAATAAATGGATAGTCTCATAAATCAGATCCCATTAAGTCTAATAATTTAAAAAGTTATCAGTATTTAACCTGATATCTGAGATGGAGTGATACAGAAATTTCAAAATCTTGGTGATACAATGTTCGACCTACAAATAAGAACAATTGTGGAATGATAGTAAACAGTTCCGGACAACAATTTATTTAGAAAGTACTGTAAAATGAAAGAAATGAAGTTAAAAGAATGCTAATCAAGTAGGACTTATTCACCAGTTTAAAGAAATCATGCTTGGGATCGGACAATAAAAAGCACTGGTAAGAAACTTTGCTAGTCTCTGGTTTTTTCTATAAACAGAGCAAACATATATTAAATAAAATTATCAAAATATTTCTATTTAAAAAGGTGATGAAAATGAAGGTATAGCAATTCATCAACATCTAAAGAAAATACAACAAAATATCTATGCACAAATAGATAATAATAATAATAATAATAATAATAATAATAATAATGTATCGACTACACTAAGGTAAAATCTTACGGTTTTTATCTGAGATTCTTTGTAATTTCCATTTAATTCTAAAGAATTGCAGATACTGCTTGAGAGAAGTGGATGATAGCCTGACCCATTACCAAACCAATCCAAATTGTTTGGAATCTGATCTTGAGCAGCACCACCGTCTTTGTTAGTTTTATTGTTTTGTGAATTATTAACATGTTCAGAAGTTGATATAGTATGAATGGATCCAACCTTTGCAAAATTATTTGATAAATGTGTAGGAGAAGGACTAGGATCACCCACTACCCGTGAACCGTTTACACAACCATTTGTCTCCACAATAATAGTATTTCGTATTCCAGAATTAGAATGGGTTTCTTCAAGAGAAAAAAAATTAAGTAAGCGATAGATTTGTAAAAAAGTTGTAGCAACAGAAAGCAAGCACTCTAGGTGAAAGCAATACATTGCACATCTAACCACACATATACACACAAAATAACAATGAGATGCTTGGAGGGCACACTGATGCTGTTGAAACAAACCTGATTTTTGATTTGTAATATATCCATTTCCTGACTTCGAGGGTACATGCAAGCCAAGTAAATGAGCTGATTGTGGCCTAGATGTTGGTGGAGGCAGTTCGATTGTGCTAAATTTCATAATTCCTCGAGGTTGACGTGTACGACGAGAAGCGACACCAATAATTCTTTTATCCAGTGTCGGTCGGTGATGGAATCCACGTGATGAAGCACCTATAAGTGTCGGTCTTTTGGAATTTGGTATCACTGAAAATGATGATTGATGATAGCCACCAAGTGAGTCACGGATTAATAAGGTACTATTCTGAGTGGAAGGCCAGTGCATAGATTCCCGTTGGGAATTATCATCGTTTAAAACAGGGCATGAATCTGGAAGGTGAAATAATGATTCCGAATTTAGTACGTCCCTTTCAATAGTCGATGCATTTTCTGGAATCGGTGGATAAGCAGGCATCGAATCTAAATTGACTGACTGACGCGAAAACATGAATGGTGAAATGGGTGTATTGTGAATGACAGGAATTGCTTGGTGTATACCAAAAGGATAAAAATTGTTAAATGCATATCCTGTGCACGCTGTTCGATCAGCTATTCCGAAAATATGATTTGAATTTTGATGAAAACATGCATTGGAAATAGGGTGTGATTGAGGACAACATGGATATAGAGCATGCAATAAATTGAAAGCTTTAATTAGAAATAGAGGAAAGGAAAAAAAGCTTGATTAGGATAAAAATTAAACCAATACATTAATGTGTGTAAAAACCGAGAGAAAAAAATTAACTACACTTACCATGATTATTTTGTTGTCTCCCAGAATATTGTCGCCCTTGTAAAACAAATGCACTTGTAGTATGCTGGATGCTGGCAGGAACTGGTCGTTGGTTGAGTTCCTTCCGGTTATTATTGCTGGTTGGTTCAGGTGTTTGGTTATCACAAGTTGACTGACTTTTCATAGGCGATTGGAGTTTGTTTACATCAACAGCTTTGACAGTGTCAGTATTCTGGGGTTTTAGTGTCATACATGCATCTTCCAAGTTAGAATCATCATGATTTTGATTTATAATCAACAAACCAGGTTGATTGTGCCCTGTATTTGATAAATGAGGTGTCCATGTTTGGTTTTGAGGTGTTGATGGTTGATGGTAGTATAACTGGGGTGTTAAAGCTTGAGACTGAGGACAATTCGGGTAAGGCATAGGACCAGTACTGTTAGGTTGCACTAGAACCTGACTACTATGAGCAGAAAATCGGTCACTACCTGAACCGAGAGATAAACGATCAGAACCTACTACAGAATTCGGACGCATGTTGACCATTTGAATAAGCTGTTGGTGAGACTGAGGATGAGGTAAAAATGCAGGATGTCCTGATGGATACACGGCTACCTGAGAACCAGTGAAGCATTGACGTTGAGAAATATAGCCGGAACCTGACGAATCGACACAAAAACCTGGTTGAGGAGAATGGATCTGATTTGTAGGCGTTGCAGAACCAGAGGGAACACCTGGCCCATAGAAGATAACTGAAGAAGCAGGTGAGTAGCGTGCAATTACACTAGCTCGGTTACCAGGGCCCACTGATCCATGTGCACCAGGAAGGGGAGAAAGCATCATCATCACTGGGATTTGATCTTTAACGCCAGTTGGATACAGCACTAATCCAGAATTACAGGCAGAAACAGAATCGTCACGATCCCCAAAGTCTGCCAACGTGGCACCGGCATTACAATTTCCACCAAGTTTGACGGATTCTGAAGAAAATGGCATTTGCCCCGAGTTGCCGTTCAGTAGAGCGGTTGCACTTTCATCCATTGCGACTGGATAACCGAACGTCGTCGAGGCTAGAGAGGGACGACGATGACTTGTAGATATCATATGATACCTAGGATGTGTACCAATATGACTAGCATGATTTAAGTGTGCTGGACTAGCAGCAACAAATGGTATACCAGATAAACTTCCACCAGCAGAATGACTTGAATGATTTAATCGAGAGTCTGATAAACGAGATGTAGGTTTCGTTTGTTGATTCCCCCCATTAGGCCAATATGAACTGACTGATTTAACAGATCGTCGATTTCCATCCAATGTTCCACCAATCATACCGCGAGCACGACACGCCAACAATACTATTGTAGCCAATGCAGCCAGAAAAAGAAATGCTAAAAGGCCAACGGTGATATAAATATGAAATTGATTAAGTCCAAGAACGGTGGTATCAGGAATCAACGGGATCAAATTCTTAAAAAGAAAAACAAGAGAAAAACAATACTCATCAGAAGAAGTATACAAATTGAGCAGTGGAAAAGTGATTCTGTTATTTCTTCTAATTGACCTAGGCAACAGATTACAAGAAAAAAATTAGGCTTTAGTTTCAGCGAAAAAAGTTATCTATTGTTTCCAGTGGATGGAAGTTACATGAGACATGCATTACAGTACAGAACTGATCTGATTCTAAAAAGCATAATCTTTTCACGGGACATTCCTTCATTTTGTTACTTTAAGTTTTTAGTATACTGATCAATATAATGTAATATTTTATATATTGGCTGGTCATAAATCAACTGTGAGCAACAATCCGTGAATCATAGCTTTGCAGAAGATATTGAAGTACTAAAATTCATATAAACTTCAATTTGGTGCATCTTACCTCCAAGTTGAAATGTTTGAAAAATTTACAGCTTACCTTCGATTGACAATGTTGACCAGAAAAACCGACTGAACAATTGCATTTATATGAACCAGGAGTGTTAAAACATACACCTCGTCCAGAACTGTATGGACTACATAAACCTCCTTTAGAACTGGCGCGGTTTTCTAACCATTTGATATAGGGTGCAGATTGATGTAAATCACTTGAATAGATGCTTTTCACCACTTGACATTCATCAACATCATATTCACAACGTGCTCCTTGCCAACCTGAAGGACAAATACACTGTGGACCACTAGACGAATCCAAACACGAACCATTATGTAAACAAACCAATTCTCGTGAATCTTGATTTATATTCGATGAAGGTATCGAAAAGGCATAACGAAAATTAGAACTGGTTCCCGGTTGTATTTTATTCAATATATCCTGTTGTAGAATTAATTGTGCTGTATGACAAGTAATACCAGACTGAATTATTGAACCACTTTTCTCTAATGGTTTACTTAACAATGAGGTTTGTGATATAATTTCCGGGTGTACAATTTCACAATGTAAACCAGATAAACCAGCTGGACAAATACAACGATAAGCAGCTAAACCAGAATGTGCAGGTGTTTTGGATATACTTGATGTTATGAGAGCTTGACAACTGTATAAAATATGAAAAATAGGTGTTCAGTAAATATTTTAAGGCTTATTGTTAATCAAGAATTGAACCCAAAAAATTATTAAATAAAATAAAATAAAATAAAATGATCTATGAAAGTCATTAAGTTTGTAAATATATACAACAGAATACAAAAATTACACGAAAAATTATAATAATATATCGTGTATGCATCTGAACAACTTTAGTCTTAGCTAGTAAAATGGATTAGAACGACTTAGATGAACTGATTCGATCACGATTGTTAGCGAAAACTAGAAGGATAATAGTCCCAAAATGCCCTGGTATGGCCCAGATTGGGGATAGTCCGCTCTCCCTCTCGAAATACTCTCACACGGCCACGCGTATACAGCCTCTGCCAGGGAAGTCCTACTCATTGCCTTCTCGTGGCGGGGATGTTGTTTACGAATATGAGAGGACGAAAAGCGAATGCCCGGCGCTTTAACCGGATTCCAAACCAATGGTGCACATGAGCTCCAGTATCCTGAGGGAATAAATGGCATATGAACCAATTGTTGATCACCGGCTACCATGGGACTGCATCCCCTCACGATGCTCCACTGCCTTGTGGGTTAGGCCTTTAGGTCAAAGGCTCGAGGTGTGGTCCCCTAAGATAACCACCTGCTTCGGTCTGGGCACCCTGGCAGTATCACAGACCACACACAAATAAGATGAATTGCCTATAATTATGGAACCTACTTTACCTGCTTCAACTAACAATCAAATGATTACTATTATTATTACTATTATTATTATTATTATTATTATTATTATTATTATTATTATTATTATTATTATTATTATTGTTTACTACATTATTCACCCTCTTTTATACTTATACAGCGACTCGTCTTTGGTGGAAATTCGACTGTATCTAAACGTTCTCGAGTCACTGTCCGGTTGAAATTTGAATGTTACCACTGAATATGAGTACTGAAGCAGTTTTTCTGAAACCACGGGCACCATTCAAACTGGCTGCCTTCAACGTTCGCATACTTATGCAGGTTGGACAACAGACAGGGCTGGCTATGTCTTTGGAAAGTCTTAATATCGATGTCTGCTGTCTATCCGAAACCCCTATTCAAGACTCTGGTGAAGTACTACAAATTCGCTCTCCATCTGTCGCTTCGAAAAGCTTATTTCACGTGCGCTTATCCGGGGACCCTGTGGCATCTTCGTCTGGTCTTGCTGGCATTGGTGTCGCACTGAGCGCTAGAGCTGAGGCAGCACTAATCGACTGGATCCCCATTAACAGTCAGTCATGTGCTGTTAGATTAGAAAGTTCCATCAAAGTGAGAAGAAATCGGCGTGAGAAACGATGTCTTTTCGTCATCTCCGCCTATGCTCCGACAGATTGCAGCCTGGATGCAATCAAGGATCAATTCTACCACCAGTTATCTGTTCTTCTCCAGAAAGTGCGTTCGACAGATATTGTAGTACTAGCCGGAGACTTGAATGCTCAGGTCGGGCGTCTAGGCACAGAAGAGAGTCGTTTAGGTGGCCAATGGGGACTTGTTGGTCGCAGGACAGATAACGGAGACCATCTACTGCAACTGTGCACAGACCACAACCTGTTTCTGGCTAGCACTAACTGTCGGCACAGTCGTCGCCGATGTGCAACCTGGCGTCCCCATTCTGCATCTCAAGCCTGGACTCAGATTGATCACATCGCGATCAGCTACCGCTGGCGTGGTTGTGTACAAGACTGCCGCTCCTTTTGGAGTACCTATCTGGACTCTGACCATGCTTTGGTCTGCGCCAATCTTACTTTACTTTGCAGTGGCTACCAAAGTGACCGCCACCAACGGATTGATGTTAGCAAGCTGGTTGCAACTTCTGTTGCAAGTAAGTATCGAACCGAGTTAGCTGCTAGGCTAGCTACCATTCCACCGAAGAGTATGGATGAGCATTGGTTGCAATTGCATGACGCCATGAAAATGGAGGGTACAGTCAGTTGTGGGTTCGCGAAACGTCCCGCTTATAAGCACTGGGTTTCTTCAGGCTCTTTACAACTCATCCAACCCATCGGTCTACTCCGAGTGACCGTGAGTTTGACCACAAACGAAGGATGTTACGTAATGAAATCGGGCAAAGCTTGCGTAAGGACCGAGAAGCCTGGTGGTCGGAGCGTGCTAATGAGCTGGAAGCAGCAGCTGCATATGGTAATTACTGGAAGCTCTTCCAACTCATCCGAGCCACTGGCAGCAAGAAGTCTGGTGTGAGCGAAACAATCTGCGAGGATGACGGAACGCTAATCACTAACATCCATCGACGTCTTGGACGATGGGCAGAATTTTTTGAAGGGCAGTTCAACCGGCTTGCTGCTCCGGCAACATCGGTCAGACTTTCCTGCCCTCCATGGCCAGTGACGACTGATCCACCAAATGAAGCGGAAGTCCGCAAGGAACTCCAACTCTTGAAGCGCTATAAATCACCTAGCCCAGATGAATTACCTCCGACTCTTTTTAAAGATGGTGGTGACTTTCTGACTAAGGAATTGACGACGTTGTTTACAAAGGTTTGGCAGCTAGAGAGTGTGCCAACGTCATGGAATGAGTCGATAGTTGTCCCTATCTTTAAAAAGGGTTCACGTCGTTCCTGTAACAACTATCGGGGGATAAGTCTACTTCCGATTGCGTCCAAGCTATTGGCTTCCGTCATACTTCGTGATTACCTGTAAAATTGATAACCTTCAGTAATAGTGAACTTTAACACTTCTTAGACAGAGTTCTCTAAACATTATGCTAACGGATTGATTAATTCACAGTCAAAAAAATGTCAATAGCTACTAAGCTACTCTACTGTACTGTACTGTATACAATCTAATTGTTAAGGATTATTATAGGGTGAGGGGCACCGTTTCATACTTTGCTGAATGATATAAAAGTCATGTTTTTCAATTTGCTAGTTATCTTCTGTAGATCAGTTGTTTACTGCTGGCTTCTAAAATAAACATTATTGGTCATTGAAAAAAAAACAATCTCCAATATTTGAGAAATCTATGTGGACGATTACATTCCCATTTATTTTTAAAATACTTCATTTTAGTTTTACGTTTGTGATATGAAAACTAATGAGTCAATTGGCAGAGTTGCATTATCGATGCAATCGCAAACACACATTAAATACCACTTATTTCTTTAACCAAATGATACTTTCAATGAGTTATAAATTATATGTAGCACTACTTAGAATTCTTATCATGTGACGTTTCAGATGTGCAAATGTAGTACGTTATAATGTAGAGAATTACACTAAATTTTAAACAGATTAACGTGAAGATTTACCTTCCACCATTGTAACATGGTGCAAGTAGACAAGCATCATTAGTTCGTTCACAATGTCTCCCATGAAATAATGAAGGGCAATCGCATATATAAGATGAACTGCTAGATGATTGTTTTGAACCAGTTACACAAGTTCCACCATGTAAACACGGCCCAGATGCACAAGATCCAGATATTGTCATAATAGGTTGACAACCGTATTCTAATTTATTTGTCCTTACAATTAATACAGATGGGTTTGAAGAGAAACCACGAAAACTTTCAGAGTGTTTTGGAGCCAAATTGATTTGATAAGGTGGTTTGATACGATTAATAGTGAAATCACGAAAACAGCCTATAATGAGAAAGAATGTTAACCAATGAGTATTTGTGATTAAACTTTTCGAGAATTTTCAACAAGTATTGAATACTGAAGATTTTCTTTGACATGAGGAAAGGAAAGTAACTAAGGAATAAAAAACTGACACAACGATTTATCCGATTGCCAGAATTAACAATTCCTATCTGAAACTCAGATAAAGATGATACGGAATAATACGAATAAAAATTATATTCATAGGTTACGTTTTGTCGATTACCATTAACAGAAAAGCACGTCCATGGTTTCTGTTATATTCATCTTATCAAATTAATTCTTTCTGATTACCAGCAAAGCAGCTATCTTTATGTTGAAACAGTTCATATGTAAGAAAAAGCGATACTGTTTATCGCGGTACAGTACTCACTATCTTTAACAAAACACGCTATGACGTAAACATCAAAGATCATGTGTTTAGTAATTTAACCACTGCTTTCTTCAATCTAAAAGTTGAAACGTCATGTATGAAAGTAGTGATCAAGTTTTAAATAGATGAAGTTTAGAAATTGATTTATTTATTATTTCCTTACCAACAATTCCAGATCGGAAGATAATCGGCGATGAATTTGTTGAATTGGGAAATGAATTACTTTTGGGAGCTGTGCTGATAGTTGTTAATTTGTATGGTTCACTCAAAGGACGAAATCCATGTACTAGATCTGCTCCAACTAGAATTCCTTGTTGATATGAATCACCTGGACTCCAGTTAATTGAAGCAGATTGAGGATTGATTCCATTGACAGTTAGTTCAACCCACCAATCAGAGTTGGAATTCCAAGAATTTGACTTCATTTTTGAATCTTACAGTGAAAAAAAAGAACAAAACGAGATCAGCAACAAACAGATGTTAAAGCTAGATCTGAGGCTGTACAGTATGAAACAATGTAATTTGGGAGATGTATAGTTCTAGGTTGTTCATAGTTCAAAATTTGGCATAGTCATTAGTAATCAAAGTTTAAATCAAATCAGCAGTGGGCAACTCACTGATGTTATTAAGTGAGGATTGTGCAATATTACAAGTTCACTGAAGTTGACAATTGTGGATTATTGAATTTTGACCAATCCTTCTAAATTTATCTTACATATTACAAAGCTTGAAGGTTGAGAGATCCATCCTATGAAAAATTGCTGATGTTACCCGTTGAAAGGTTTAGAACTAGAACGAAAATGCTGTCCAGTGTTTTCTGAGTTTTTATGATTATTCAGTCCTATTTACTCGCTTTACTTAGCACTAACTATCAAAATGTAAGTACTGCGTTAAAATCTGTAAGGTTCACAACAGTGATTATTTAATTAAGTTTACTTATTGTGAGATGGTGATAATAAACATAAACAAGCTTGTAAAATTACCTTCTATTAATGCATCATGAAATAAGGCATCAACATGGGTTGCCTTATTGGAATTCAACACTGTCAAAACAAATCGTACACGATGCCAATGACCATCGGCGATTGATACATTAGATACTAACCAATCAGTTATTGGTAAACCATTAGATAAGCCAGTAGCAGAAATCACCAAATGTCCACCATTGGTTAATCTTATTTGAAAAGTTCTTAATGATGACCAACGTATAAATACTAAAGGTCCATTTGTTTGTCGAGTTCGAAAAGAAAATTTCAACTCCATAAAAAATGGATTAGGATTTACAAATTCCCAATGGATAAATGTCCCACCAGTAAACTGTAATGGTCCATTTTCTAAACAAATCAAAACAATATCATAAAACTCAATTATTCTCAACAAAAAAAGATGGTTGAAATCCAAAGAATAATCATAAGGATCATTCCTCTAATTGCTAGAGCAATGGGTCAGTGGTTAAGGCGTTCTACTTTCACCCAAAAAATCCGAGGTTCGAGACCCACTTCACTGACTTCGATTTTGAACAACTGGGTAGCATCGATAACCTTCTCAATTAAACTGTGATTCATCATCAATTATGATGAGTTACATTTTATTTCATAAATTTTTACCAATCGGTATTTTTGAAAATAAAAATAGTCAGGATTAATAAGCGAATAATCAATTAAGTCAAAAGGTGACTTGAAAAGAATGAATAAATAGGTCTGACCGGAAGCTAGAATAACCCATATGAGCCTGATATAGTGCCAGCAACTACCCAAGTTCGAATCGCATAGACATCAATTTCCACAAGATTAGAGGTATGCTTCACTGACCAGTGCTAACTAACATGAAACCTAGGTCCATGATCTCATTTCGACTATCTCACTTAACGTATTAACATAGAACACAATCAATTAGACCAGTGGCCATATTGAAACTTGATCGATAGAATTCGACGAGCACAAAAAAGACTGGATTAACATAAGATTGATCAACACTAAATTATCGACCAGTTGATAACGTGTAAATAAGATGAAATAGAAAATAAAATCTTGAACCATAACATTTATTTATTTTACCTCTTTGATTAAAACACGATTCTGAATGGCAATCATCCCTGCCATCACCGTAAATTAAGAGTGATTCACAATTGGGACCGGTGCGAGGCGGTGGACAAATACACGAATAGTCATTTAAACCATGTGGAATACATAATCGAGAGGCAGGACAATTGGCCAGTGCACAAGCATCAGTCGGTGTATTGCAAAGTAAACCAGTAAAATGTATCGGACATTGGCAAACAGGCGATAACACAAATCGAGGTGATACTTGATTTACACGATGCACTTCAATACGATTCATGAGACCATTCGGATCAATACTAACTTTTGTATGACAACGACCGCGAGGGCAAAACTAAAAATAGAAGGTATATATGGTTGAAAAAGAAGTATATTTAACAAGTTTTAAACTAACTGAATCCTATAAAGTGAGATATAACGCATTGATGAATGAATCTTTAATCTATGGTTGATTTTATTACACTTACTTAAAAATTGTTCACAAACTCTCTATATACACAGTACTACTGGTTAATTTACTGACTATTCAATTCAAGATAAGGTTATTTTAGCTTTTTTTGACTGACATTTGGTAATTATTCAGTTCAATAACGACAGAAACTGGACAGGATTCAATTTAAATAAATACTAGTGTTTCCACAGAAGCTCCACACCTTTAAAGTGAGATAGACCGGTACGTACAATGATAATGGATTGTTGATCATGAAATATTTTATCGGAAACAAATAAAGGATTTATAAATGTCGTAGCAAAAATCCAGTCAAATGCCTATTAAGATGAAATAGCATTCTTTATGTCGGTTTAAAGATATTGCAGAAAAACATGAACTATAAACTATTAGCGGTGACTGTTTAGAATACAATTACTTAAGTTAAAATGTGACATTTCTACACTTCATTGAACAATACCGATGGAAACTTACCAAATGAATATACATCATGACATCGCTATACACTGTTAGAATGATAATCTATTTAGTTAAATATAACTCTAGTTACTTTTATATATATACACGTGGACATATTCTCTCGCTCTCGCTCTCTCTCGGATATCACAAAATCAAGTATAATATACCGAGCTTTGTATGTTTTTCTAAAAAAATTGACATTATTTATTAGACTTATGCATTACACATACGAATCAAAAGAAATGAGCTTTTCTTTAAGTCCTATTAATACATGTTAAAGAGAACAGAAAATCACAATGATATGATTCCACATTGTATCGTAAAAAAAAGAAAAACAAGACATGCAATCAGATAGACAGAATAATGGATTCTGAATATTTGAAAATAATGCATTTCCACAAGTCAAAACTTTTGTTGTACTTAAGAAAATGTATTAAAAATTTATTTAGTTTAATATTAAAAAGCTACATGATCACTGATTGAAAAAGTATGATAGTAAAAAAACATTCAGACGATACAACTGTATTCATGGAATAATTACAAATACTTAAATACTATAAAATACTTTAAGAAATCGGTCATTAAAAAGTGTAAACACTTAGCTAAGGATAGATGGATGAACTGATAGAAAGATTTTATCAAATATACAGTTTATATTGTTACAATTTTCTCTATTTATGTTTGCATATAAACGAATAATTAGAAAAATCCAATGAAATAGACAAAGTTTATCCCTAGTTACATTTTTGATCATTTGAATCTTCTTACTGTTGATATTGAGGACTGGAATTAATCAATATCTTTTGGAATGAATAAAGGCTAGGAAGATTAGGTAGATACTATCATTAAGTTACAAGTTCAACCTATTAAAAATTGACTTTCGTGCAGAATGGTTAGCAGATAGTAGCAAAACGAAAACATTTACCTGCTAATTACATTGAAAGACGGTTGCGCAATATCGTGAAGTAATTGAAGCTAAACATGTAAACTTTAAGATGTTGGTTCAGTTGTTTAAGAGTTTTGTTCACTATGAGAACTGAATCTCATGAATTCAACCGCTGGTGAGACTGTGGAGTTCAATACTAGGTCAAAACAAATCTTTAGTCCATCCTATTTTTTCTATAATTATTTAACTAAGATGATGTAAACTATAACAACAAAATGAGGTTGAAGTTAGCCTTCTTCGAGCTGTCGATGACCTAATACAAGATCAGATTATGCGTACACAGGTCGAGTGTTATGCTTCGCATTTTAATGAAGATTGAAATCTACTAACTATGAGACAATATAAATCAATTACCCAAACACACAGGTAAGAAAATGGAATATTATAAATTTTAAAATAAACTAATTACCTGTGGTGTACAAACATCATGGACAGCTTCAATTTCTCCTCCGAATTCCACAGATAAACTATCAGCTATTCCATTGATAGCTTGAGCGATTTTAAAAGGCTTAATAAATTCTCTTTCTTTAGGATCATATACTGCGATCAGTATATCAACAGCTCTATCAATACTACGTTTGTTACGGTGTGAATCCATAAATGCATTTTTCTGATGATAAACATTAGATGAAGATGACAAAGAATTAAGACGATTCGGAAAATCTGTTTCTTGTACAGAAAGAATATAAACATTCTCATCTTGTGATGAATTATTCTTTGGTGATAAGATTGTTGAACTGGATGGTGAAAAATACGATGAACTTGACTCTAAAAGTAGATTAGATAAATGATTTTGTAAAACAGTATTATAATTTTCCATATAAAATAAATTTGGTAGTAGATTTGAAATTCGAATTACCAACGATGAGTCAAGCATTTCTTCAGTTATCGCTATCACCTGAAATGATGAGTTTAAAGAAAAAGCAATAAAAAAATTACAATTTTTTTGTTAAAACAAAAAAGCATTTGATTATATATAGTATGGAAACGAAGTTAATCAGAATCGAGAGTACAACTTTCAGACTTTTTCATGAAACTAAAATGTCATACCTATCCTGCTCATAGCGTTTAAAGTAGTTGGGATTACCATCACAGAGTGAAAATAATAGTGCTAAATGTATTAAATGCTCATTTGTGACCATGAACATTGTATGTAACAAGCGAATCGGCACAACTTTTAAATCAAAACCTAAACAGTTAATACTGAGACAAGCCTTAATCTAGTGGGACTATATTTTGTAGACGAACTTGTCAGATAGCACCTCTTGCGTTTTCACGCGAAATCCATCAATTTATTTGACTAAAGAGAATTTTCGCATTTCAGCTTGTGTCAGTTTGTAACTTTAAACTGCAAATACTTACACCAATCAAGAGCAGTATGGGAATTCTTAAAAACTCATCAAGACCATTTTTAAAGGTTCGAGAAGCAAGGACAATTTCGATGTCATTGTTTCTTCAAATCACTGGTAGATTAACTTGCAAAAGACTTTAATAGATTCACTAAATGTGTAAAATCTGTATACACTTAATAATATCATTGTATTCTTTTCCAAAAGGTTATCTATCAGAAAAGCTATTATCTGATTGGTAAAGAACTGACGTGTCCCTATACTATAGTATACTATAGCCAAACATTCGACTAAAAGCTTTAAAAAAGAATGTAAATACTTATCTTCCAAGTCTCATTTGATTTAGTCTTATCAACATTTAAAGAGAGAGAAGTCTTTTATGAATAAACAAAGAAATAGCCTGATACACTCAGTAGATCGACTAATCATAGATCGAAAATGAGTGAAAGGTTTGTTCTGGTAAGATTGTTGCGGCCGAAAATCATAAGCAATCATGTTATGAATAAACCCTGTCTTATATATTCATATTATATATGCATTACAATTGAAGTTAATAGATGAATTATGGTATTTGAAAGTAGCGATAGTCAAGTTTTTGGTATCATTCAGTATTTAACAAAAAATTATTAATATAGAGGTTTTGTGGAAACCTAAATTTTTATAGATTAAATCACTGACTGATCTTAGTTAGGATCATTTTGATATACATACTTTTTAATTGTTCCTTTTATGACTATATATGATGAGCACTGCAATTTACAGTAAGACATTTTGTATTTATTAATCTTATTAGAATAGTTTTTAGAAATCTTGTACAATTTACTGGAGAAAATTAAGTGTATCAACGCAACCTAGGACTATGAATAGGTATCCAGTGTCACATAGCTGTTTGTTAGTTTTCCATTGATTATAAATTATATATGGTTAACATTAATTTTTTTTAATTAGGTTCACATTCTGCTGTTAAATTTGACTGTGAATTTTCACAGTAATTACATTTGGGAGCCAAACTTCTGGCTTGATTAGCCTCGCTAATGCTGGTTTAAAAACAGAATGATACAGACAATTTCGAATAATATGAAACAAATCCTAGTTAATACTGAACATGTAGATTTTACATGGAAAATGAAAGTTTAAATTGAATCATTATTGTCCTTATTAGCACTGTTCAGCAAATATCAGCACTCCAATATAGAATAAAGTAATGTAGGTAAATGCAAAAAGACGATATCGCTATTTAACCTAATTTCATAATAACAGTTATAACAATTATATGGATGATTTGTAAAAGTTTAGTGCACCCAACCATGTTGACATTTATGATTAACTGTACACCTATAAACCAGTTTTTATACTCTTTATCAGTTCAACTGACTAGTCAGTCAAAATAGACCATATATCTATAAACTGCACAGCAGTACTTCATAAATACACAGATAAATAAATAATAATAGACAATAGTAGTAAAGGATGAATAAAATAAATAATTTTAATTTCCAGTATAAAAATGAATGACTAATTAGAAATTAGTAAATCAGATAAGAATTATTACATTTTACGTGATATGAAAATAAAATTCTAAAAACAAACTCTGAACGCGATAAATAACAAAATAAGTAACTAGTTGTTTATTTTTTTCCCTTTTTTAGAAATGAAACAACAACTAATCAGATGAACTAGAGTCTTAGAATATCTGAATCTAATAAATACAAAAAAAACACTTGTCTATTGCACTGTAATTATGATTTATTAAAACGAATAATTTGAACGAACTGATAAAATAAATGATAGGTCAACTTCTATGACAAGCGTTTTCTAAAATCCGAATTGTTGTTTTAAAAAAAATAATCCGTATTATAACAACGCTTTTCGTTCTTGCGTCTATGGAAGACGAACAGATTAACGATTTACAATAGAATTTTGTATGATCACTAAATTATTTATATTCCAGTTAGTAACATGTACAGATTAGATCGTTCACGTAGTAAGCATGCACAGATGCCTGTCAATGACTTAGGTATATCGGTACGTAATAATAATAAAAGCTGGTGAATCGATATTAAGACTGATAAATAATGTAACTCATTTACAAAGTACATGTTTATATACTCAGTATAAAATTAGAAATTTTGTGTGTCTGTGTGTTCGGAGAACCGGTGATACAACTAAGCTGTCTAAACTGAACGAAATTGAGTTAAAGAACTTGTAAGTAGTTAAACCACTGAACCATCATCTAACAGTACCAATGGATAATTCATCATAGCTCACCTACATATATTTACTTTGAATCACATTATTACGATGAAGGCCAATAATACTACTATCCAACTAGTAAAACCAAAGCAGGGTTTGAACCTATGACTTACTGGTTGAAAGTCATCACTTCAGAAAATAATAGAAGTAAAAATCTTCATGATAATTGAACACATTGACTATTATGATGTTGAGATATATTTTTTAAACTTATTATTGATAGAATCCTTGAACTTTTCAATTAATTAATTTTTTTTGAGAAACATTAAAAAGCACATACATTAGTAAAAAAAATCATGGAAAAAGTAAAAATGTTAAATTAGAATATTGAACACGCAAACTTTTAAATTACTTGTAAAATTGAAAAATTATATATATATATATATATATATATATATATATATATATATGTATACTTAGTATATAATACTTATATACATTTACAACCAAGTTCAGATCGAAAATAGAACCAGCTATTGACATAGCCTTTATGGACTAGAAAAAACACAAAAAGAAATCCATGAGGTAGAAAAAAGAAAAGCAAAGAAAACAGAGGAGAAAGAAAGGAAATTAATCATGAAGAAACTAATCAACCAACCAATGAACTAAGTATATTAATAGAGTTATAAATAAATTTATAGGGATTAATTAAGTGGATTTATCTACGTAGAAAAGGGCATAAATAAGACGATGATGATCTTGAAGTGATTGACTTGTTGAAGCATGATAAATCTATCGATGTGCAAGAACAATATGTCAATCAAACTTCTTAGATTAGATTTTAATCAAAATGAAATATTTATCTATTTATGTTTTAGAAAAAGAAACGTTGGATAACCTAAATAGAAAGATGTTCAACATCAAATATCAGCCAGATTACTTAATAAGAAACAGAATTCAGAGAGAAATTTATACAAGATTGTGTAACATATTTAGAACAGGAGAGAGTAAAATGAAAATAAATAATTTTGAACAAAAAAACTAATGTACTTAGATATCGATGAAAGTCAAGCAGTTCATCTGAATGATCAATTTTAATAGTCTGATGTAAATAGATTTTATTAAATCATAAATATTACTGTTGCGAGTATTTGTGCAGATGATTATCCGTTATATATTGAAATAGTACCGAAATTGTCAGATTCTTAGAAACTGATTAATGATGTGGATTGGAGGAATATTGAAAGTCAAAAACAAAACTTAACAGTTTTCTCGGATGATTACAAAACTAACGTAATGCTCCCTTTTTACACTTTGTAAAGATAACCTAATAAAAGAAACTTTAATCTACCAGTTGGTTAGTGAATCAATCGCACTGCAGTAGTAATTGTCATGGAATGTTTAAAAACGAGAAAAAAAGTCATAGTAAGGATTATTTTTTTATGTACATGGTCATCATCAAACTACAAAATGTGTACACGTATAGAGAAACAAAATCATTTTGTTGAATACATAAGACAACTTACTTTAATATGCATTGTTGTTTCAGAAGTAAGCGTACCATTTGTAACACGTACACGCAATGGATAATTGCCAGAGTCAAGATGAATTAGTGAATTATGAAATTGGTTCAACATAGGTTTACGTGAAGAAGTTGAGGTATCATATAGATTAGAGCGACTTGTATCGGGATTAGAAGATATTTTCATAGCAGGACGTATAGTTCCATCATATTGGTCGACAGAGAATAAATTTGACATGGATGTGTTATCTTTTAATAATTCAAAAAATAACCGATCATGTGCTGTACGGTCTTTTACTGTTATACGACATATAGTTTTATCAGAAATTTGCTCAGAGATATCTTGTTTCGAAGATGACTCATGAAAATAATTCTCATTCCAATCGTGTAAACTGCGATAATAAATCAATGTAGAATTTGTATTGACAATCTCTGGTGGTAGATTAGACATCCGGATGATACGAACAGTGACTGTAGTTGTTGTATGTAATGCAGTTAAACCATTATCATTGGCTCGGATCACTAAGCTTTGACTACCAACCTATGATGTAACAGAAAGTATTCTTTCGTAAATTTCAAATTAGTATAGAAAGAATCGTACATAATCCATATTATTAAGCAAATAGTACACATACATATAACAGGTACATAAAAGCACGTAAAACAAACACACAGAGAGCGTTGAGAATATCAATAATTGCTGAGTATTCACATTAGGTATGTTGAATGGTATCATCATAGTGTTAAGAAAGGAGAGTTACCAATGTAGTTTGTAGATAATTATTTCGCAAACTAAATTATCATAGATTAAGGGATATTTGTAAATAAAACAATTGCAAGTGAGTAAACCAACAAAGTCTTTGTTCTTGCACAAACCTATCAACATTTATTCATTATTGAGGATCTCTGTCACATAACATCGAATTTTCTTGAAATGTGTGAACTATGGTAGTATTTCAAGTAAATCTTTTCAGAGAATGATCGTTCTAATTATTAAATGTAATTCATGAATTTAAAACCAAATGCAAACATTAAGTTAAGCAGGTTTGCGAGCTTTGCAACAAGGATGAAACAAATATTCAAAGTTCCTTGATCTTAGATTGTTTTCTAACCAATGTCAATTCAAATATATAGGAATGGTTAGATTCAAAGATTACTAAGAAATTATTTGAAACTATAAGAGGTAAAAAGAAATGTGTGTAGTCATAAACTATTGTTTTTATGAATGTATGATTAGCGTTAGAAAAATAAAATTATTACGACTTAATAAAGTTTAAGGAAGAATTATCCACAGTTCCAATTACAGTTATTATTAACTTACAGGTAATTTGTCAATAGCATAGAGTAAACATTCTCCTCTACTAAAATCTGTCTGATTGTTGAGATGATCATTTTTATTTGAATTAGATGTATGAATTCTCATTTCTGTAGATCGAACAGAAAATAGACTGGTACTACTACTACTACTACCAGTAGTAGAAGTAATGAGTGATGTAGTACTTGATCTTGATGATGATAATGAATCATATGGAACAGTTTGGATAATACCAGAATTAGCTAAGTGACATGTAAATGGACCAGAATTTGGATGGGCATCAGAATCTGTCAACTTGAGCCGACCGATGAGAACATTCCCACTGCTACCGGTAGTAGACTGACAATTATTTTCATATGAATTCTATAATACACAAAATAGAAATAAACAAAGCTTAGAATTTTGTGGAAAACTACGAAAGCATGTAAAGGTTTATGGGTTATATACCTCTCTACTTTCACAAATTATGTAATTAAAACATCATCCTTATATATATGGAAAGCGAGAATTAGGTTTCGTAATACGTAAAAACAGCAATTCTAATAGCTACTTCACAATGCTGATTCGTATATTCTAAAATTCGATTTCACAAATACATGTCTTCTACAATTAACTACTTTATATTTTCTCACAATTGAAATAAATTAGTTTTAAACAAAACTGCATAAAAACACCGAGAGACAAATAAATACATATTTTTCACAAAAGTCGCTAATTAAAATCACTTGAGAACATTCAAAAGATGTTTATTTAAAGAAAAAATTACAGGATAACAAGAGAATAGCCACATATATACACATAGCACATCGGTTGTTTTTCGTTTGTTGAAAAAAATAACAACAACCTCAAATGGTAACTAAAGAAAGGGGAAAATATGCCAATCACATAACAACATATGTTACACAATTCAGGTATCCTAAGGAATGATATATGTATGTACTTAATTAAATTAATGGTCAAATCAATCAAGTCATGTGCTGCTTGATAATAACATTATCGTGAACAGTCATTTCAGTGAATACCATACAGTAGACGATCAAAGTCATTAGTGCATGCTAAGCTGGAGTTCCAATTAAAAATTCCAGTATGAAGGAAAATATTCCCATTCGGTTGACGGATGTGATTATAAAAATGTAAGATGTTATTTATACCTATTCACAGAAATGCAATCTTAGAACTGAAATATGTTCTTCAGGCACTAAGGACAACTTTCAGACCATCGATAACATAATGATATCCATGTTGATTAATGAAGGTGAGATGTCTGTGTCAGTGAATATTAATGAAACAGATAGATAACTATCAACATTACAATCAAATGGTAGTTGGAACAAACAGAAATGCAAGTACACATAATGATTGATAAATAGATTTTAAAACTAATAATTCATAAGAAAATGTAAACAGCAACACTTTTAGCAAATAAAATGTCGACACCATAGAACTAAAAGATCTTTTAGTACAGCAATCAAAGTATATTGTTAAGTGATAATATTCACGTTTTTATAAAGGACGAGCTATGAGATGTACAATCCAGATTTTCTGATGGAAATTCACTGTCTGAAAAGTTAAAGAAATTGCAGATGAGACAGTAACTCACTGAAGATATTGAGCTATACAACAAATTACTAAAAGTCAAAAATATGCACCCGATTGGAATTAAGGTCAGTGATTTAAAATGTATTATGTTCAGCATGACATCTAAAGATCCTCGGTTCGACCTCATGTAAGGAATGATGAGAAGTTTTAGGATGAAAAAGAAACAACTGTTTAATAAACTCTAGCTTTCTTTAAATCATTCTTCATCTGATATCTACTTACAATATTAACTTTCGTTTAAATTTTACAAAATTTCCAACATTGAAAAACCCTACTCAACTATATCGTGTTAAAAAGTTTAATTGAACGAATCACGAAGAGGTTGACCAAATTTTTAACCATACAAATGAATGGAAATATCGATAAGAGGGTTAAAAGCTGTCCAAGAGATGAAGATTTGGTTAAGATTATCAACAACAAAAAATAATGGAGTTAAATACGTAAAATGAAAAACTATTGATTCAGATAAGATGCACTTTCTTTACAGTAAATAATGTGAAGAAAGATATATTGATACTTTTTCCTAATTAACAAACACACTACTTTTATGGATACGTACATAATGATTATTTATGTGTGGGCAAGTGTGGTATTTAATAAGATTACGAGATATTCGATTGATTGAATAGTGATAAAATGGTTGAAATTTTTTTGAATACACGTATGAAAATGCATCAAAAGACTGTTATAAGGGTATATATATAATTGGTTGTACATCGCCTAATTCATTCATTCACCTTCACTTTCGTTTAGCACTGTGTATCCAAACAAAGTTAGCTCTTGAACACTGCTTTAGTTACATAAATCAAATAGAGTAAGTACTTGGATGATTAAGAAGGAGAGTTATCAAGTCTTTAAATAACATCACCCATCCTAATTCGACAATTAATGGAAAATGAATCACGAGAGAGGAGGCTTTCTCGGTTTTATATAATAAGCTAGATGATGTATCGAATCTCCAAAAACGGAGTTCGATGAAGAATGCTGATAGGCGGCCTATGTTCCTCCACGAGAGGTAACAGGAGTAAGTAAGACAATGTACCAAAAAGAGAAGCTTACATCTATGTATGTCTGCAAGAAGGTATAAATAGTTAGTCTTCGGCACGACCTACGCATCAGGGGCCATTCCCATTCCTAATCACGTTGATAAAAAATCTTAGACCCAAATGCTTTTATGGTTGCTCAACCCTCTCTCATTATAAAAAGTGTATATTCAGTTTTTTTAAGTGATATAATGACGATAATGTAGGCACAATATTTCTTATACTCCGTATCGTATTTCCATGTTTCAGGTCCTACTAATTATAATTCACCATCACCACTTCCAAAAAACTTTCCTAATCCCTAATATATGACCTTAAAACTTTAATAACAATGTTTACTGAAAGTATTTAAGGTGTAGAGGATTTAAATCCACCATTTTTGATATGTAATACGTATTTAATGTGTTGGCTAACTCCGCCTAGAGCCCCTTCGTGGGCTACTACCGGTCCCAAGCCCGGATAAAGAAGGAGGGTTGTGCATGGGGTTAGCGTCCTAATCCCATAGAAAACTAACTCGCTAACAAAACGCTAACCAGAAAAAATTATTCAAACCTTTTAAACTCTGTCCTGCGAGTCAGAAGGTCTCCATTTAGAAGAGTTATGACGCCTCATGGCGAAAGCCGAGTTCCTTCGAAAGCCACGACGCCAATGCCTCTTCTGACAACCAGAGCAACCATTTATTTAGGTACATGGAATGCTCGTAAAATGTGGGAGACTGGGAGAGTCCTCCAGATTGCTGCAGAAATGAGGAGATACAAGGTAGAGGTGCTTGGGATCAGTGAAACACATTGGATGCAAGTTGGACAACAACGACTAGCTTCAGGGGAGCTTCTGTTATACTCCAGCCATGAAGAAGAAAATGCCCCACTGCTGAGGAGCCCCATACTAGGACGAAACGGCCGTCCAGTTCTTTTACTTTTTCAACGATAGTCTCGCTAAGATTAATTCGTGATCTAAACTATGGAAATATGTTTATGGATTTATGAGAATAGTGCATAACTATAACACTATTGGAAAATAATTTTTGTTCAAACATCCCATGTTTTTAAATGAGATACAATCACTGACTGAGTTTACTCACTTCAGATCCAGATATGGAATATCAGCTCAATGTGTACAAAGTTTTCAAAAAATATCAACAAAGTAAATAGGGCTAAAGATCAAAATAGGAAGTACGAAGATTATGGAAAACTACTAAGGATTGGTTTGACCAATGCAAAGAACTATTTGGGATTTTGAATGAAACAGTCCTCATGTTTTGAATTTTTCTTTCAGGAATAATAATTATTATTCACTGTATCCAAAGAATAACAGTCGAATAAGATTTCTTGATAGAATATACAGATTTTGGCTAGCAATAAAATCTAGGACGAATGTTTAGTCAGTCAGTAACAACGTAGAACATCGTACGTACGTACATCAGTTCGAGTTGCCACACCACATTAGCACAGAGATGCAGTGGTCGATTCAAATCCCGTAGTGGTAGGGGTAGCAAGAGTATAAGCAGTAATCGGGAAGATTAGGGTTTGGAGATGTTATTTAAAGAGTATAATCCAGTGAAAGAAATTTGGAAAGAGGGAAAAAGGGACATGAAGAATTCAGAAGATTAGAGTTTGGGAGAACACAGAGAGTGGATGCACCTGCGCCATTGCGAACGAATGTTTAACCCTATTGGGAACTCAAATTCAGTAACTTTTGCTTCAAATGCTTAAAACGGGATCATCCGAATACTTTCTAATGGTGAATGAGATAAACAATTGGACAATTAGGAATGAATGAATCACGGTTGCTGTTTTTCTGTCATGGTGAACATCATTTAGTCATATTAAAATATAAATGAAGAAAGAAACTTTTCCTCACTTATTTCACTAACCCGAATAGAATATTAGAGGAAAGTAGACAGAAAAAGGAGGGAGAGGAGAAGGGAATAAAGAGTAGAGTTTTATTAGAACTTTCCTTTTTCTATTTTAATTTCAAATAGGAAGAAAATTACAACAGTTGTTCACAGTGATAAATACCATGCATGGAATGAAAAAAAATTTACTGGAGCCCATTATGAAAAGGTCATTAACATAATTTTGATTATTAATCATTTGACAATAGTTATTCAAATAAAATAGACCATAACCTGTTTCTTTCATTGTTCAGTAATGACGAAGAGTATAACAGTGATTTACAAAAGAACAACACAACTTTAGACAGGATGAAATTTATAAGCACTTTATTCATATACTGAATAAACATTGGTAAGTAATCAATCATACGGAGTGCTAACACTTAAAAGCAGAGAGTGGTAAAAAGTACAGAACAATACTTTTATGAAACTTAGAGTAGTTCGAAATAACTTACAGTCGAAATTTCATTTTATCAAAATAGTTATGACAGAATGGAGAAATACAAGGTAGTTAACATATATGCACATATATTTATTCTCTGTGCCATTACAGTCTATTGAGAAAGACGAAGAAAATGTTATGCTTTTTGTTCTAAGTCATTTGGCAAACATAACAATAAAAACATTTCGATTCCATCGTCATTGTATAGACTGAGATCACAAAATCAAAATTCAGCTTTTATCTTTTTAAAATTGGTTAACGAATTTAATGTAATTAAATGTGCAGTGCAAGTGAAAAATAATCATTGAACACAGATACATTCAGTCGACATGTGTTTACTATTTAAAGAAAAATTTCTTAGAAAAACAATAACACCAATAAATGGATAACTTACTTGTTTCTCAGAACATGAACTTATATTACCGGAACGATCAACCTAAATATTTATTACAACGGAAAATACGGGAAACAGTTAAGATCAGTTAAAATTTCATTCTTTTTTAAATATCTATCTTCGAGAATTATAAAAAACTATCAAACATAAAAAGTAAATTATCAGTATAGAATTGCCGAGGAGGTTGAGTTACATAGTTTACATCACGGGCTGATGATAGTTAGGCAACCATTGAAAGCTAAGAAGCAATGGACAGCTATTTCGTTTTAAAATGGGACTCGTTGTCAGTGCATATCCACGACCCTATGAGAGTTCGCCCCGCTAAGAAGTCTCATATTAGGTCAAAATAGTTGTCCATTGCTTCGTAGCTTTCAATTGTTGTATAAATAACATCATCCCGTGATATGAATTATATAAATTATATTATCTGAAATTACACAAAAACACACGGGTATGATACGTTCACAAAACTATATTTAGGCCTCATGATAACAGGACTCCACTAGCAATACAATTTTATTAAACTACCTATGATTTTTACAGGCGAGAGTTGGTCATTCAGATGTACTATTATTCATCATGAGAAATAACTATTCTAAAAATAAATCTAAACAAAATTGTGACTTGACAAACTACGTTCAACTTAAAATTGAGAGTACCTAGATAGCATGTTATATATTTTGACCATCAGTTCGTCGTCAAATGATTAAATGTATTGAAAAATTACTCTGGTGCAATAAAAGACCATACATTGTACACTTTGATAACGAATTTCATTTTGTAAATGATTACATAAATGAAGGGGAATGATAATCGCTACGGACCTCAGTCACAATGATATACAATAACAGTTCAAGTTGTTACCCAGTTTTAATGGTAAGCAAAAGAGAAATATATCAAAATAATCATAAAGGATATGAATCGGTAGAGAGGAATGAATGTAGATTATAAAACAAGTGTGACTGATTCCACATTAAGTGAAAAAAAAACAGTAAATTTAAGCATTTCCAAATCCCTGAACGGGAAGCTAGTCGACTCGCACACGAGGCTCACAGGAACAATAATACGTTGAAAAGTTAATCTCATGCCTTGATTTGGCCACTACTAATTTTCTTCCCGACCAACTGATAATTCAGTTAGTGTTGGTCAGTTATGAAGACAGTACTTCATACGAGTAACACATATCCTTATTAGTGCATTAACTATAATAACATAATAGACATTAGTAGTATAATTCTTAAATTCGTATATCAACATGATATTCTATTTTCAGAAAAATGCGAAACAGTTCCATAAATTCTTCCAGAAAATATGAAGATTTTAGGTAAATTAAATCACGCAACAACTAACAAACAATATTGAATATGTTTAAGTGAAAAGTATACAATGTTTTATACGGCATTAAAAAAAATAACATTAGAAATTACAATACATGAAAGATGTTTGCTTTATTTTTAAATATTCGTATCACTAAAGCAAATGAGAATAGAAGTGGACGTATACACGCATCGATGTGACAAAACTTCTACAACATGCATAAAGATATATATGTTGTGAACGACGACTTGGTGGAGATTACGAATTTGTTGTTTCATGCAAAATCTGATCATTTAAATTAATTACGGTTTGAAAAAAACTTACTTCAACATAAAATTCATAGTTAGACTTTTCAAATGTCGGTGCACAATCATTGATATCCAATATTTCCACATAAACTAATGTAAGGCTAGACAAAGGAATTGGTTTTCCATGATCTTCAACTTGTACCATTAACCAATAACCACTGACTGCTTCACGATCAGGTTGAAAGATTAGTATTAACCGGCCAGATTCTGAGTCTAAACTAAAACGTGTCTTAGCTTCAGCAGCTGTTAAAAATTCTATGTTTTCTGAATCCTGTTGATAGGTTTTAAATAAAGTAGAGAAATCAATATTTCCGCTCAGATGAAAGCTTACACGACCGTTATCACCGCTATCTGGATCGATTGCATTCAACTATAATAAATAGTCGTAAACAGGAAGTATAATATTAGATTGTATTGAAAGCACAATTTATGAATAAGTAAAGAGCTGAGCTTCATAATCTATATCAAATACACTGGAAAATGATCATTATTTACTAATAAAGTAAGATCGAATTAAATGTACGAAATACCTGTCTAAAAATTAGTGTTGATGCAACCAAGGCTTCCCAGTGTTAGTCAAAAGTGATGTTAATCCAAGGTAATTCAATAAACCTGTGGCCCAATGATTAAAAATATCCTACTTTTAGCCGTTAAATAGTGAATTCTAACACCGCTACACCTACTTTGGTTTGGACAACCGAGTAGTACCATTAACTTTAAATTAACAGTGTGGCTCGTAGGCAAGTACGTGAAAATGTATTTGACCAGTAAGTTAGTCAGTAGTATATTTGATGGCAAACATTTTTATCATACGGGACCTTTTATTACTATTTTTTAATATCAAAAAGTGTGGAACTTTCCTCCTGATATATTATTTCTATTCATCCCTCGTCTATGGTTGTGGAACATTAACTACTATTCGGTATTATTGCAAGAAAAAACTTTTGTTACATTTTCTCACAGAACTTACCTTGCCAACAACAGTACCATTACGACTATTCTCCACTACGCTGAATGAATAGTAATATTCATAAAAATTTGAATCAATGGACGTCAGATCATCCAGGTTATTCAAACCAATATTTTCTGGAATACGTTGTCTACCCAAAAATTGTGGTTGATTATCATTAGCATCGTCCACGTGAACAGTTAACACAGCTGTACTACTCAATGGAGGCTGACCACGATCACGTGCTTCGATAGTTAAAAAGTATGCTGATGTTTGTTCATAATCCAATGGTTTCTGAAGCCATAAATCACCTATTAGGAAAAATGAATACACGTGAAACACCAATAAGTTAACTGAAGGTATATATATATATATATATATATATATATATATATATATATATGGAGAGGGAGAGAGGGGGAAAGTGTGATAACCTTTATGGAATAAAACGAAAGGTAAGCAGGATGAGTACCGATATTACCATAACATTTAATTCAAAGTTGAAACAGAATCCATAAAACGTTTCAAAAATAAAACCCTAAGTGACCATCTTTATTTAATTAGTTTTTTTTAACAAATCAAGTGAGAAAATTTCATCAATAAGCAGAAAGGCATGAAAAATGGAGAGATACATAGGGAGAGTAAGAGTGGGAGAGAGAAGCTAGAAAAGAAAACGTCACCACACCTTTTTTTCAAACAGATCAACATAAAAATCAATAAAGTAATTCATTCACACTTAAAAAAGCACATACGGACTATTTGGTAGATTAGGCCGAGACAGCGTGTTCATTTAAAAAACGAAAGAACTGAACAAAATTCTCATAGTTTTATGATGCAATACAATCTATCTGTAGAGTTTTCTTTATTTTTTGTCACATACAGGGTGAAAAAGAGACAAAAAGACAAGATAACAGATGAGGAACGAAGAATATATAGGTTTAAGTACGATTTCAGAATATAGCGTAATTAATTTATCGTGTAACGTATTCATTAAAATAAATCTATTCAATATTATAAGATAAAAGTGAGGAAAATCGATTTCTTAAGCATATACGAACACAAGAAAAGTCACTCGTAGAATCGATTTAATCAACAGAGAGATATTTTAGTGGTCGAAACACTGATTTGACTTGGTCTACCTTAGTTTCAGAATCAGAAAACATAACTCAAAGGTGAGTACACGAGTGTAAGTTGACCAAGCATAAGTTACAATACTCAGAAGCCCTATGACTTTTTTGTAACAATAAAGTGCTAGTCGAATAAACCCACATGGTTACTGAGTAACTTAATCCATTTTTTTTCTTCTGAATGTGGATTTCGCGAACAAAATTTAATGAGCATAAAATAGAATTAAACATTTATTTTGTGTGTATTCGTACTGGTAACTCCCAGTCCATTATTTCAAATCAATCGACGACATTTGAACTTGTAGAGAAAATTAATGAAAATATCGAGTGAATTATAATGATGAAAACTTAAGGTGAAAAACTTTTAACAGTGAATTTCAACTCAGTGATTTGACTTAGGTTGCTTTTTATTAAGCCTTGATAAGTCGCTAAATATGATATAATATGTGTAGAAGTCATGAACTAATGTACTTCGAAAAACAATAAATAGAGCGAATAATAAATTTTTATTTATAAATAAAGTGATTTATTTAAAGTCAGTTAAACGACAATGTATGTGGATGTGTGTTCGGAAAAATATAGAAATATTACCTGGCACATAATGGCCCATCCATATGATTATTCTATGATTGATTACATGGAAAGTTCATCTGTAAATTTCATAAGTGCATGTATTTACTTGGACTGGTATGAATCATTCATTCAAAAGTACTTTAATGAATGAACTGTTCACATATTCGTCTAGTTATCACTTAGGATGGCAGTCAAATCATCAATAATTCTTTAGTTCATGAAGTAACTTCATGTAAAGAAACACGGATCCATTATTATTATAGCTTTTTATGAAGGTTATTGAATGTCATAGTATTAAACATGGACTAATCTTAGCCAAACATCGAATACTAGAAAGCACAAGGTGACTACTTCGTCCTACTATGAGAGTTCTTAAAGCGAAGACTCCTAGTGTAGTCATGTCTGTGCATTTACAAGGACTCTCATGTTGTGACAACACTTATATAATTAGCCAAAAGTACTTTGTCTCTTGATAAAAGTCCATTTTACTTTTCAAACTAATATTGTTAATAAACACCTGGATAATAACTAGTTTGATTTATTGAGAGAAAAAGTACAGTCATAGCAACGAAGAAAAAAAAACATGATGTGAAATATATACACTTAATGTTAAAATATTTGACAAATCTACTTAATGATTGTAACAAAAATGAAAAATGCAAGACAAGAAAAATACGTTTTCATTTTGTTTCATTTACTGTTTTGTAAATTTGAAAGAAAAAAACATTAATCTAAACTAGCAATATATACTGTCCAATTTTTCTTCACATAATATATATGTGTATGCAAAGAACCTTGTGCACATAGAGGGGGTACATACTACACATTTATATATGTTTTAGTTAATTGTCAACTAATATTTAATTATTTTTAATAAAAAAATTTCTGGTTACGACATAGAAAGTAATAAAAAACCAAGCTACTTTTTTAACGGATGTCATCTATCTAGACAAGATAGCGGTAATTAAGTAAGTAGTTGAATAATACATCTTTGCATAAACAAAAAGAAATCACCATGTAAGATGAACAAGCAAACAAACAAGTAAACGAAATGAATTAGCGCTCAAAAACACAAACAAACTATTTTAAGATGCGATTTTAACGCCAACATCTTAGTCAGATTTTGACAGGCCTAACACAAATCTATAAAGTATTTAGCTCGAATTTTCTGCGTATTTTTTTCGCTTTTATAAAAATGTAATAATAGCATGAAATAGATAAAATAAAAAAAACCTGGATAACTTGGTGCAGCAACCGACAAAAACAGTGCATTATAACCATTTTATAAAAATTAAATGCTAAATTTGAGGATATTTTATTTGACTAAAAAAAATAAAGTAGGCCTATATGGAACGGAGGTAGACACCAACACACACATACACGTATGTACCACACAAACTGACTTTTAAAGAAAGTAATATTTGATACAAAGAAAAACTGACATTATTAAATTGTTAAAATAAACACATCGAATAATAATTAGCCAAAAGTACTTTGTCTCTTGATAAAAGTCCATTTTACTTTTTATACTAATACTGTTAATAATAGTTTTCTAGACGAACCACAAAGGATTTCCAATTTTAAGATATATTTAATGATTTTCCAAAATGGCTTTGGATTGTTTTTATAAATCAACATAGCAGAGGTGGAGAACTATTAAAAGCAAAGAAACGTTAAGATAACTGTTTCTTCCTAGTTTGGGGGACTTTTGTATGATGGACAAAATATATTAGACTACTGGAGTCCTCACACAATACCTCAAATATTTCTAGCTTCAATCAATTCACTAGATAGAGCATCATCATGAAACCAAAGAACATTTCATTAGACCGATTAATAAAAATTTGATCCTTATATAGGATCTATAACAGCAATACACAAATTAATCAAACACTTTGTGCGGTGAAAAAATAAACGATATAGATTAATTTAGCGATTAGATGAGACTGTATTTAGCGCAAAACTATTCTTGCTATAATTAAACAGATAATGATAATAAATTATGTTTACACATGAAAATGATGTCTAGAACTCGATGAAATTACAGTTATCCACCAAAATCAGTAGACAGACATATATACACTGACAAGCGCACACATACAGATACAAGTTAGACGTTATCAAATAAATTTAGAAGGAAAACAGATTACTAATGAAAGACGAAAAATGCATTTATATGGCAACAGTTTCACTGCGAATAAGACTTATGATAAGTCTATTGGTTTGGAGAAGAGTCAGCATTGTTTGAGGGCAATTTCCACCATAAATTGCCTGCTTAAAGGGATTGTATACATAATAAAGTCTAGCGGTTATGGATTTCACTTCATGTAGGGTGGTGGTGAGAAAGTGCATTATGGTAGTTTCAAATGAATGGGATACAGTTGTTCTCTGGATTTTGATTGTTCTCCAGTTAGTGTTAGTCTGTGGTTAAAATAAGCTTAAACCCTAACAAAACTACTTAAATTACTATATATATACCTAAGTAATAGTTGTGTTTTAGATAATGGTTGAATTTTAGGTATGTTTTTCCAACGCATTCTACTGAGAAGTAGGTAGCCTGATCATATCGAGAATGAATGGAAAAGTTTCCACCTGATAATTGTGATTATATTGTGAATGAACTGAGAATTAAAATATTGACAACAATTTGATTGAGTTTAATTTATTAAATTAAAAACAACGTGTACAGTGTTGGATTTAAGAGTTTTGCATAGACTGATTAGAATGAATTATTGACAAGTTCAAAGTTAGCATACCCTTTTGTTTCCAACGGTTTTCTAGCTGACATTAATTCTTAATGTAAACTACCTTCATCTTTTAAAACAACTAAACGTTATATACGGTCAATTTATTACTGTGTTGTTACTGTCGTCCTTATTACTGTGTAGGAAAAAATAAAACGGAAAAACTGAAGAAAAATGGTTGATCTAATCACACATTAACTCTTATTTGCAAATAAAATATTTTAGATAGGACTGACAAATTATCAGTTATAGACAGACGGTAGATAACTAGCTGTTAATAGAAAATAATTCATAAAGTTTGATAACAACACTTTGTCAAATTTAAAAGAAAACTTTTAAAATAATAGTAGATTTCAAGCGGGAAAATGTTCTACTTTTTAACGAAATGTAGTGGGTGATATTATGAATGATAATGATGAAAATAATAACAATAAAAATCAGAAGACGAAATAATAATAAATGGTGTAGTTTTAGTAAAACCTATCAACAGAACTTACTAATCACCTATAATTTCCTATGCTTAACTATAGACTATCATTTTGTTGGATTGTGCTGATTACTGCTACTAGTAAGACTGTGAAATAACTGCTACTTACTACTTATTTAATGGAATAACACTGAGATGGTTCGAAGGAATCACAAATGTTAGGAATAATTTATGAACAAACAAATGATTATGTATTTTACTCTTTACTAATGTATCTACTCTATACATTGAGAATGATACAACGTTTACTGCTTGTGTAAATCCATGTAAATAGAATGTATTAATGTTAGCCTATGAATAAACCAACGATTTCTAGTTCATTGCTTCATAATGCTGCTTTTTTTTAATCCAGACGAATAGCCGCTTTTACTAACTTACTT